ACAGGCTTGGTTTTTACGTTTACGTTTACGTTTTTGTTTTTACGTTTTTATGCGTAAAAACGTAAAGTTGCAAAAGGGCCTATTTTTGCGGCTATTTTTACGTTTTTACGGCTCCCTGGCACACGTAGTTTACACGATGAAAGTTGCATACAATGATCAGTCCTCCGCCATCTCCATCACCCGGAGCACAATGTCCACCTCGCCTGTGGCAAGGGCGATAACGGCGTTTAGCAAAAACTCGTTTTCTGCCTCTTCCAAGGCGTCTGGCTGCCACTCTCCGGACTCTGTAAATGTATATGTACTGTCCTTACGTACACCAGGCAGTTTTTACGTTGTATTTACGTATTTTTACGCATTTTTACGCGTAAAAACGTAAAAACTATTTTTACGCGTATAAACGTAAATACGATCAGTTTTTACGCGTAAAAACCAAGCCTGTCCTCGAATACCCTAGCCACGTCAGAACGGGCAGTACAATCGAATGTTATACAATATCTATCAGGTCACGTCCAGATATGGCAGTTCACATGATTCTCACTCTCCTTGCGCCTCATATTCTACTATAGCGTGCTTCCACAGACCTCACAGCATGCTCTTCGAAGAGCATTGGAATTCCAATCCTCGCATACCCCCCTTGCAACGCCCAGGAGGCCATCAGTTCATTTATTCGTCACCTTTCCGGCACGCGCGCAGCTCCACAATTGAATCTGTGCTGCGACCTGAAATATTCGCAGGAATACTCGCTCGCACCTACGTAGGTCGCACCTACGGCTCCGCCTGCCCTTTTCTCGCATTACAATGTACTGCTCAGGAACAACGCTAAGACGTCATAGCCACGCCACAAATCATCCCAGTGATATTTCTCGGTTGAGTTAAAGGACTGATATACTCACGCAGGGTATCAGCAACATAAGTCTATAAAAATTCATCACCGAATTCATGACCAGATTCTCGATGTTTGCATGCATAACTGGTCGCATCCCCATTGTGCTGTCGGACCTCACAGAACCACGTAAAATGCATCTGCCTGAGGCAGAAGAATTGAAAATAAGTGACATCTTATCTCTCCCTAGCCTGCTGCGAGTAAATCGTGCATCTATCTGCCAGAAAATCCACGTCATTTTTGGTGTCTTCGTGCACAGTGATCCCCAAAAACCCTGACCTGCTTCCAACAGCGAACTTGATACTTCCTCAATCAATTGGGTCAGGGTGGTAAGCTTTGGGTCACTGGTGGCTCCAGCGTAGGATCACAGTGGTATCAACAAACTTCGAGCTCTGCAATGACATTAATCAAACTGACTGATCACTTATTAAGTTTCAAGTTGAAACTTGGCAGGGTAGTCATCATTTGCGTAGGTTGTCTTTTACACGTCGCAGGTATGTTGCAGCATGCACCAACACCTCTCAAAAGGAAAAAAACAGGCCAGATGACACAGTTCTGACACGGTCTACTCAAAATCCAACTGTGTACTTTCGGTGAATGTGGTCCCAAAAGTACACAATTAGTACACACATTGACACAGTCTCAACCGCGTACCCTCAAACAACTGTGTAGACTACACGGTTTCCAAGGATGCACGGTTAAGATTGTGTCAAAGTGTATACTAATGTATTCAGCGCCTCACTGGACGCCCACGGTGGTTGCCATGTCTGCCACTGTGAGTAATCCGGTGGCAGTACCTCATCATTGGCACATCATCCGGCCCCGAGAAGCCCGTCACCTGTCCACGCGAGACTGTCGCTGCGTTGCGCCACCACAAGCGCTCGTGCCTCTTCCCGTTTGCGTGTTCCGCAAGCCGCGATCCCGGGCAGCCTTCGAGGCCTCCACCCGGCCAGTGGACCCATCGGCGAAGATTCGCCACCACGAGTCGCAGCCATCGCCGGTCCCACCGATTGCCATTGGTGCTCGCAGTCCCTCGATCCCGATCGCCCGTGCGAGCCAGCCGACGCGCAATGCTGCGGCCGACCGGTGCAGATCCATCCTTCCAGCAGTGCTGCACTGTCGGAAGCAGTTTTCGAGTGAGGGAGCAGCTTCGCGAGCCAAGCGTGCGCGTCCAGAGGGTGGCACGCGGAGCCCAGTGCGTCAAGTCACTTCCAGGATGCAGAACCTTCCGTGGCGTCGGTATCGTGTCCCGTATCTTGGTAGAATCGGGCGCACATCGAGATACCCGTGCGTCTCGCCACATTGTCGGCTTCGTATTCTCCTTTTACGTTGGAGATCGTCCCTTTGGAGGACACCAAGCCTTTCTTTTACTTTTGTGGTTTTCGCCGATTCCTAGCCAACTTTTGAGGCTTGCGAGTCGCCAGCTTGCCATAAATTTCGTATCGTATATTGGCGACCCGAACACTAATCTCTGTTTTCGTGCATGCGATTTGGTGGAAAACCTGTCATTGAATACCGGTCGCTCACCGCACAAGAACGAAAATACGTCCAAGTTTGAGGGGATGTCCCCAACCCTTGCCATTTTTCTGCCTCGTGGGGATGCGGAGGCATAAGGAAACAAGCTCGAGGCTGTGCAATCCAGACCTCAATTTTGAGTTCAGCGGCTCGCTCCTCGAAGACAGTGGGCCATTCCTTCATATACACTAACGTATTGAGTAGGTGCCCAGCAAGCAGTCCCCAATTGTAGTTCCACAAGTAGGGGTCACAGGCAAAACGTCAGTTGCATTTGTTGAGCAACTCATTGGTGCGCGGCCACAGTTTTAATGGGCGGGTGCCCCACGAGACATGTGACCCATCATGGAAAGGGAACTGTGCAAAGACAGGGGAATTAGTCAGCGCAAGACAGCAATTCTGTGCGGCACATTTTCATCCAAAAATCCGGCCAGAGTTCACAAGGTTTCTATTCACATTCGGATGACTAGGTGGGCATTAGCATGCAGCTTTTCAGCATACAAGCTTTCTTTGCAGCGCATTTTCCAGAGCTTGGAGTCCATGTGCTCCACGACAGACCATTCACTACCCTAACGAATGTTCTCTGTAGTTGCAGCCTTCACAGAAGAAACGTTTCCTTGCAAAAGTGCGCACCAAACGGCTATCATATCAGAGTCCATCATTTGAATGTCATCTTTACAATGGTGGCTAACGTAGCATCCCCTGCCTCGCTCACCAGGCTGGGCAAGAAAGTGGCATCGCCTGTGTCATAAGGTACCATAACACTCCAATGCTTGCTGTCACCCGTCTACCAGCGCCAACTTTCTTTCCCTTCAAAATTTCCAAAAATCCATCCCATCATTCGTGCAAACTGCCAAGTGGCTCCGCCACATATGTACATCCCCAAACTGTGGACAGCCTCTAAGCAACGATGTGGCTGATGGCAGCAGTGCTGGCCAGGCCAATATCCTACCCATAAAAGACCTCAAACCCAGGTCCTCAGAAAGGGCACCCAGCATGCCAATTCCCCCACCATGGGTTGCCCAGACTAAGCCAAAATTCAGTGTGGTGCCAGTGTAGCAGAGCACACCCTTGGGCCCCCCATGCCATCAATAACAGATACATGGCGCGCCAGCAACAGACAGAGTATTGACCTTGAATGTGGTCGTGGCATCGACTGCCCTGCATCTTGCCTTGCACCAGAAGTTTTGTTGTTTCAAAACAACACCCCTGTCCACTCCTGATGCCCTGGTCTGTGCTTCCTAGTGTGGACTCACCCCTGCCCACACCTGCATGTTGCGCACAACACTGTTTGCACAGTGGAAGCACACGTTTTCCCCCGGCGAAATGGTCCCCCCACACTGACAGGCCCCTGATGGGCTCACGGTGACGCCGCTGATAGTCACCTTCAGGGCCGCCTGCAGTATGTCGAAAATGTCAGAGGTCTGGACACCCTGTTTCACCATCTCCCTCTTGACTACCTCCTGTTCCTGGACGGTAGACACCCCCGTGAGAAACTTTATGATGACCACAATGCATTTCCTGCGCAGGTCATGCATCGACAGACGGCTGGCCGTGTCCAGCCAAGCCACTGCATCCCTGCAGTCCCCCCGTTTGGCTTGCAAACTGCCGCTCTGGATGTGGCTCCACAGTTTGACGCCCACAGGGAAGCCTGCACAGTGCAGGAGGCAGCCTGGGGCACACATGAACTCCTCGACCACCTCGAACAGGAAGGGTATGTCGAACTTTTCGGCCATGTGGACAATGCGGGCGGCATGTGCAGGCTGCAACACACGGGTTTTGTCAATTGTGGCCCAATGTATGGGGCAGTCCTTGTTGGAAAGAGAAGACAAGTACATCGATGGAGGGACAACCCACCCCCAAAAGCCCCTGCTTCCCTCCTGTTCCCCCTCTCCCGACACTGTGCAACAGCCTCTGGCAACACTCTTCCAAAGCACACGTCAATTTTCCCAATAGCACTTGCAAGCACTTACAACACGCTCTGAACCATAGCTTTGGTTACTACAGTCGGCCAAGCTCGATGCCGACATCTCCCAAAAGCCTAGATGCGCTGTTTGGCGTGAAAAGCGAATCAAACGCGCGTCAACGCTCGTCGAAACTGAATCCACCGCGAATACAAAACCTGTTGAAGCGTCGAAGGGACCATTCATACTCCGCTATGGATAAGTCTCAACTCGTTTCTAAGCAAAACTTTGCTGATATCCTTTCTCCAGACCACATAACGATCCGGAAGCGTCAGCCAAGTACGACAAAAAAAAAAGGGGCTGAAGGGGCCCAGGGAACAGCATCCCCGCGACCGGCCGTCGCATCACGACCGATCCCTCCAGATGCGCGCTCCCCCGCGTCCACTCCTCACGGCTTCCGAGAACGCGCTCCTGCCTTCGGCACTATTGGCCCATTCAACCGCACACACAGCGCACAGGGCTGCGATACGCGAAAGCGGGTCCGCCTCCTGCCCCACACCCCGCCCCCCGTGCCCCAGCAACCGCAACATCGGTACCCGATTTCCAAATCATCGCACGCCGCGCTACTTCTATCGCGCAATGCCGCGCATAGTCGCGCAGGGCAGAGCGCCACGGGCCGCACTCACGTCGTCTACTCGGACATTCCTGCTGTACAGGCACCTCATCAGCTCCACCAGCTCCCTTGGCGCTGTGCCGTCCCCCAGCGGCACCTCCATCTTGCTCTCGGGGCTGCCCATGCCCAGGTCAGCGAACAGCCTCCGGAACACCCCGCTGCGGAGCGCCAGCACCTGCGAGTGGGCCTCAATCTTGGCCCCGGCGCCCGCGCTGAGCACCACGTCCGTGGTCCGATCCAGCGACTCATGATCCATGACTTCGTCCCGGAAGCCGGCGCTCGAGGCGTCCCTGCGCACATCGCATGGGCCCTCATCGTACAAACCCTCGGATGCGCACGTACTTGCCCACCGCAGCGAGGTTTGCCATCTGCAACTGGGGACTTGCGCTCGAGGGGATTTGCAGAAATATTGGGCATGCCACTCACCCGCCCGAGCACCGACTCCGGTCGCGCCCTGTCGGCGCGTCCGCCGTGCTGCCAGCTTCTGGTGGGGAGGGGAAGGCGTCGGCTGCTGGTCGACATTGGGGGGTGGGGTCCGTGGCGCCGCGAACAGGTTCTGGGACGGCGACCGCCTGTTGTACGCGCCTGTCCAGCGGGGCGCACACGTGGCGAGACGATGTGGGGCAGGGTCGACCGGGGAGGATCATGCGGGGAAGCCGTGAGCTGAGGGGACGTACACAGATGTCAGTGGCAGCCTTCCCAGCGCTGTGAGGGGGTGGTGTGACCCATGTTGTGCATCCTCGTAAGGACATTTCATCGCCCGTGGGGAAGCACTCCCCTTGCACCTTCTCGGGAGCCGTCACCCGCGCGGCACAAAATTACTGGCTGCACCAAATCGGTGACTGCTTGCACCAACTCCCTCCAAAACTTACCTAATCTAGAGCCTAAACCCTAAACCCTAACACTAAACCTGCCCTAAACCTAACCCTTGCCCTAAAAATCACCCTAAAACTAAACCTAACCCTAAAACTGAGGTTAGGACATAGTGAGCATGTGATTTGGTGCAAGCAGTCACCGATTTGGTGCAGGCAGTAATATTATTTCCATGCGCGCTGCCAAGCAAGGCCAAGCCTTCTGATACCGGTCGTGGCTGACTGCGCAGGGCGGCTATCCTGAGTGGGGCCTGGTTTTTGCGGGCGCAGCGGGTGTGGAAGTGACGTCAATGGGTTTGGGCCTTGAGTCGCTGCCTTCAGTGGGCAATTTCGAAATTCGGTGAATCGTTCGTGGGCGATGTGAAACGTCGACTATACAGTCGATATGGCAGGGGTACATGTGTTCCTAAATAATGTAGGAGCGCGTTTGATAACGATGCAGCATTCCTTCCAATAAAATAAGTATTCTTGGCTGTTGCAAACAAAATGTTTGTATCACTTGACCGAGGTAGGGGCGGCGTTCTGGCAACATTTTCTTGGTGATCAGTCAGATTTTGCCATCAAAGCGGATTGGTAGAACAACCTGACTGTGCCAATGTTCCCAGGCTTTGGTGTTGAACAACATGATGACAAGTCGCACATAGCACTACTCCCTTAGTGATGGAATAATAGAATTGCTATTGCAGAACTGTGTGCGTGCAAACTGTGAGGCGATGTGAGGTTGTACAACGACCTCACATCTCTGCACTCTTCTCCATGTAGTACTTCATGCAGACCCTTGTCCAAGTAGTACCTCATGAATTCGGTGCACAGCCACGTCTCCTGGCCGAGGGAGCAAAGGCCATCATCACGCAACAGTGGAGGCTGCGACTTGGCGTTGCCCCAGGCTTGGCTGACTACCATCCTAATCTGCAGGACTCGCATTCATTTTGTCAATTAACTTACGGTAATAAGCAAATTGACATGGTTTGGTCCAAATCAATGGAATAGGAATCATGCAGAACAAATTATCGTATGAACCAAATGAATCGTGCAAACAGCCAAATTCTGGCCAGCGATGCACGACCGAAAGGGGGAACAAAGGGCTGAATGGTTGAATGGCCTTGACTTTCCTTTCTTAGTGCTCGTGCTCTTTTATCAGCTCCGGTCAGAACAGGCCGTGGGACGCCATGTTTCATTTCAGCAATGCACTTGTGTCCATGGAACCCCGCCACGAGCCGGAAGCGTGTGTTATGAGTCCGTAGATGAGACATCGTGCACGCTGAGTAAACGAATTGCTGCAGGGAATTGGGCAAAGAAGTCATGCAAATTCCTCTGACGGATTTGCGTCTGTATGCTGGACTTCATCGAGCGCGCCAGTTCCTTTGTCAAATCTGCTGTGGCAAAAAACTCTGGAATAATGAATATCGCTGATATCCTCTCGCGAACAACATTTCATGGACGTGCACACGGGGTGACACATGGCAGCAGTGCGTTCTCCATCCAGTTTTTGAACTTATATAAAAGAAAGTATCATTTGACGGCAGATCTTGGCTGTTTTCGAAGTCATTCTTTTGTATGATTCCATGTCGAGGAAAATGCTTCAGGATGCACATATTAAAACAGCGGAAATGCTGAATTTCACACATTCCATGTTCTTCACAGGATGTCTTGACGGACATGCCATGGAATATTGACGCTGTCGGCTGTGCCCTTGACACGATAGTCCACTTGAGAAGGCGCAAAGCGATGGCCATGCCCATAAGCTTGGGCGAATTGCAGCGCAGGACACTCTCCACCGGGATGGTAATCGTGTGGCTGCGTGGAAAGATGGCGTCGGGATGCTGCCGGCACCTATACATAAGAAGTTGGGGTATAACCACGCACTCTTGGTAGCGAACCGCATCGCTCATTTTATTATGTGTGTGCTGTGCGATTGGACATGTTTTAGTCTCGCTGGACGCACACGAACTGGGTGGCGCTGCCGAAGAGTCCAGAGCCCACCAATTTATCGTGGGCTCTCACCTGGGAATTCTTGTTGCCGCGTATGCAAGGTCGACAACCACCAACAGAAAGAGGTGTCCTTGCGATGCCAGCTGCGATGCCACTTGACACTAAGTGATGGCATCGCATCCACTTTTGTGCCATCACAGTGACTGTGATGCGACCACTTTGTGTCAGAATGGAATCGCAGCCGGCATCGCAAAAAGGGCATTTTCTTATAGTGAACGGCCAAACGGAGGCGCCGAAATCTGCCCTCCGATCGGGCGCCGTGTTGTGTTCCTTGCGGCCTGTTTTCCTGCTTCCGCTGGCATCCAAATTTCCCACGGACGGGCGCCATTATTCCACACCAGCGGGAATTGGGTGGGAGATACGTCAGTTCCGGTCTTCTTGCGACTCTGAAAGGCTTTTGTTGCAAGTGAAACTCCGCTATAATAGCGGCAAATGCAGAGAGCAATTTTACAGCTTTCAATTCTTCTCCACATGTTAGTTTTAGGGTGACAGGGCAACCACCTGAAACGGGTTTTCTTCCAGCTGTGCACACAAAGGCAACTGGCTGGCAGTCCCGTGCGAAAAGGGCTTGTAGAAATTGTCAGTGGACATTTGCAACTGTTATTTCCACTTGGCGAAGATCTCCCAAGGCTTTGATGGGTCAAGCGTCCTTGTAGACGCGTCGTAGATGGCATATACATGCGGTGACTTCATTATGTGCCGTCCAGGACGCGCCACAAGGGCGGTTAACATAGCAAAGATTTGGGAGGCTTTCATCAAGTGGATGTAACCACTGTGGTATTTGCGCAAACAGCCACCAATGCTTCCGCACCCAATGTTATGCGCACATGCCGTATGTCCATTGAAACACAAGCTTGCACATTTACTCTCCCTCGGAAGCGCCAAACTGGAGCAGACCCCTCCTGCTCCCATGTCGCTCCTTTTTTTCCAAACGCTTCAGTACTCGAGTGTCGAGGGGGAGCGTGCACAGTTGATTTTTGTTTGTTTGCGAATGTTTTGTAAGGTGTGCGCATCGCCCCTTGCATGATTATTTTGTGGACAAGGGCTGTTTGTTGGAAACGGGAAACGCAGATGCTCGCTGCTTTCGCCCCCCACGCACGTTCAGTACACCACAAATAGAATGTAATGTCACTGTTGAAGGCCAGTTGAAAGTGCATTCATTCGCTGCGCATACATATTGGATGCATACTTGAATCCCCAAAATTCATTTCCGTAGATTGGAGCTTACGCGGATGGGATGTGGAAAAGATGCGTCCAAAAAAAAGCGTGCGCTCCTGCCCGCCAACCGCCCGGACCTTGGCGCCAGGGGACCAGCAGCGCGCCCGAGCCGTCAGTCCCGCACGCCTGAGCAGGAGCACCGGCGCTCACCAGCCCAAGAGCTCACCCCACCCCGTCGCTGATCTCCGGAGGCGAGTTCTGGATTGACCGCGCGCGGCGGAGGGGGGATCGCGCGATCGGGGATCGGGTCCGTGCGGGCATTGTCGTCAGAAAAAGATCTGGGGCAGGGGCGTCGAGTTGGCGCAGCGATCGGATCCGACCGGTCGGTGGATTTTCTCCAGAGTCCGCTTAAAATCGCAGGCGGAGGGCCGTGAGACGAAGCGGACGCGACTGCCGAGAATTTGCATCCGATTCGCGGTGACGCTTCGGACGGGCGACCCCGCCAAACGACGTCCGGCGCCCCGGGGGTTGCGCACGCTTGCCCGGGCCGTCGGGCGATCCGCTGATTCCATTGTCTCCCTCTACCATTTTCGCAGGAAGGATGTTCACCCCAGGGCATTGGGAGCAGGTAGGTCGGCCGGTCGGCCCCGCGACCTTGCTCGCCGTTGCTGAAAGAAAATCGAGTATTCGAGCCGCGCTTAGAAGCAGCATTACCTTCCGCGATGGCCGTGCGGGGCTGGGGAGTGGAGCTTACAAGAGCCTGGTCCACCGCCTATTTGGCGCGTCTTCTGTCCGTCTGGCGATTTCGCTCGAGTGCGGAGCGATCCCCCCATGAGCTGGGGATGGCGGATCAGGCGCCGCTTCGCACCCCCCCCCATCCATGGCCTGCCCAGTTGCGAACCCCTGGCCGCAGCGCCACAACACAAGCTCGTGTCTGCCCCTTGCAGGGCGTCTACCGGACATCCCGTGGCAGGGCCGTGAGGGCGCCGGAGCGCTTCGGCGTGATGGCGTACGTCGGGAACTTCCAGCCGCTGGCGGTGGGCGGGCCTTACATGCCCAGCCCGGAGGAGCTCCACCACGCGGCTCAGGCGCCCATGGCGGCGGTCCCGGCCCCGGCAATCGCACCTGCCCAGGCGCCTCTCGCCCTCCCGCCCGCCCCCGTCTTCGCGCCTCCCCCCGCCCCCTTCATGCAGGGCAACAGGGTGGTGCTCGGGGACCTGCCCCTGGTGAGTCCCCCTCTCGTGCGATCGCCACCGTCGCCGCGCCAC